GGTCATTAGGTTTTATTGAGGAAAGGGGAAACCTGGACCGTTGATCAAAACGATCAACGACCAGGATTTGGCCGGGTGTTAGGTTTGGGCAGATGGGTATTGGGCTTGGGATTTCTGGGCTGGTTTAAGGGGTTAAAATTGGGCTAGTTAATAGGCTAAGTTTTAAATAAAAAGGGCTATTTGTTAAATACGTAATTAATTGCTAAAATAATTAANATTATAACAATTTTAAAAAATGGTTAATAAATTATAAAAAATGATTTTAATGCATGGAAATGTTTTAAAGTAATTACTTAATATTTAGAAAATATAAAAGGCTATTTTCTGATAAAATAATATAATAATGCATGCATAGGCTATAATTGCAAAGTGATTGCAATTGTATCCTAAAATACATATGTGGCTATTTGTACAATAATTGAAACTTAATATGAATGAAAATGATAAAATTAAGCCGTAAAATTATTAAAACTATTTTTTGATGCAATTTAATGATTGTTTTATAAAATAAATACTGGGAGAAATTAGTTAAAATATTTTAAAAATGTAGAAAATTGAATGAAAATACTAATTGATGCCCAGGCATAGTTTGAAATATTATGGAAAAAATTGGGTATCAAAATCAGACTCTAACATTGGTCACTATAGTTTTGGACAGAAAAGATCCTAAGGGTAAAATACTTAGGAGTCAGAAACGTTTGTTATTACCAAAGATGTGATTTCGTACAACTCATGCAAATGACTAGAAGATATAATGTATGCAATGAAAACCAAGAGAACCCAATAGTGAATTTTAGGGAATGATTTTAAGTTGATCATATTTATTCAAATCAGAACTATAAGTACCACGTTAGTAAGCTACTATAAGAAGCATCTATTGATGTAAGATAAATGATATGGCAATTCCGCCTTAGGTTATGTGACTAAGTGATTCCCACGGATGTTTATAGTATGATATGATTTTGTATTATATAGAAAGTTTGGGGTTAGATATTCTAATTTTGTTTAAGACAGATGAACTTTCCCTAAGTGTGATCCATGTTCATGGTCCAAAAAAACGGTAAACATGCGACAGTAGAACAGGGTCGGATGGAGAGGGAAGTTAGAAATAACCTTATTCCCCACTTTAGTTATCCAAAGTAACAAGAAAACGTGATTCTAGCAGGTGTTTAGTAAAAGAATAATAAGTAAGTTTTGAGTTGATACAATGAATTAGCAATTTTAGTAGAGCTAGTAGAGGTACAATTTGATTCACTAAGCCAGGTTAACTCTAGTGAGTGGATGACAGTTTGAAATACCGAACGTGTGTCAGAACCTAAAGAGTTTAAGTTAAATCCGAAGTACAGTGATAGTGGAAAAAACAATCAACTAGCAGTAAGAGAGCAAACTATAGAAGAATACCCTTTAGGAATTATCGAAATGTAGTTTCTCCAAGATTGACAGTGTAAGTAGAGTTAAATTATTAAGATTGTGTATGATAGTTGTGAATACATTAGCTTTCCGTTATGTGAATAGTCTAGTTTTTCCTAGAAAAAAAATCTTAGAAGTAAGTTGAAAGATGAGTCGTCATTGACGTAAAGTGCAAAGAATTGTAGAAAATAAGGAAAGTTATTTGGATCCCAACAAAAAAAAAGGAAGAATCCCCAAGTATAAGACCTTTGGTCTAAGGGGGTGATGTGAGAACCATCAGTAAGTCTATATGGAGATTTGAAACTCGAATAGTTAACATGGGATATGAAAAAGAAAATGAGCTCGATAATGAGGGAAAATTGTATAATTACCATAGGGATTATGTGATGTTCTAAACGTCAATACCACACAAGAGGGGGGGGGGG